GTGACCCTATGAAGGCAGGCTTTGAGGTCCCCAACGCTCAAACTACACTCAGTATGGCACACGGTCTCCTTCTGCTGCCTGCATATCAAGAAGTAGAACTCTCAGCTCCCTCTCCAGCACCAAGTCTGCCTGCACACTGTCATACTTCTCCCCATGACAATAGTGTACTAACGCTCTGAAACTGTAAGCCAGCCCCAACTAAATGCTTTCCTTTATAAGAGTTGCCATGGTCATGCTGCCTTTTTACAGCAATAGAAACCCTAAGACACTTTATATTATTGTGGTGCCAGGATTGAACCAAGAGTCCTGCACAAGCTAAGCACTCCCATTGTACAATAAATTTTAATGGGTGATTCTTAATAAAATAATGCCTCTTTAGAAGTATTAGAGTCATAGCAGGTGATGTGACCGTTGGACCAGTCTCATCAGTGTGAGGGTCCTCTTCCTAGCCTGTCTGCTGTCTCTGTGATTGTGTGTGCAAATGCACAGGGTCCTGGTATCAAGGCTTCCCCTGCAACGTGAACACTCAGAAGGCTGAGGTAGGAGGATCATGATTTTGTTGTTAACCTGGGACACCTTAGAGAAGTACTAGTGCAAAAAACAAAATCCAAACATATTCAAACATGGTGGTGCACACATGTGATCCCAGCGTTTGGCAGAGAGATGGTGGGAAGATCCCAAGTTCAAGGTCATCTTCAGCTACGTAGGAAGTTTGGAAGCCAGTCTGAGCAATAGCAATTTGGTTTAAAAAAACAAACCAAGGGAGTTTCGGGTAGTCACACACACCTTTAATTCCAGCACTGGAGAGCCAAGGCCAGTGGATCTCTGTGAATTCAAGGCCAGCCTGGTCTACATAGGGAGTTCCAGGACAACAGGGCTACATAGTGAGACCCTATCTGTCTCAGAAACAAAACAAAACCCCAAACAGACATTAAAATCTAAGTTCAAGACTTCAAGGCACACGCAAGAAAAGATAACAATGACAGATTTAGTTGATTCCTGCGGGTACTGCTCTAAAGCTTGTGGGCTTTGCCTAATACTCTGATTACAGTGCCATGAGGTTAGCACTGTTGCTGTCTGGCATTATGGTGGAAGACACTTGGATCGGACAGTGATTATCCAGGTCTTATAATTAGCCTGTGGTGGTGCTGGGACAGGGTCTAGACAGTGGACATCTATGTTAGGTGGCCCCAAAGCCTCCTGGGACTATGCCCTAGCCACAGGCTGTCCCCAGGATTATTTCCTGATACTGTCAAGTTTTTATAACCTTCTTCATGTCCTGGGGACCTGGGGGTGGTATTTCCTGGTCCTCTTCAGATCTGTGCTCTCTTCAGCTGGCAGTCAAAGACTTACTGAGAGCTGAAGAGACAGAGGGGAGGCTCAGAGTGCACCAGTGACTGGTTGTCTGGACTAGAAAGTACTGGAAAGTTTCTAACTCTGGCCTCGGGGCACGGGTGGAAAGTGCCTCCACTAACTTCACCTTTTCTCCTTTTATTAATTTACACTGAGTCTGTGGTGTAGATTAAAGCCTGGCTTTAAATCTTAGCACTGCCTCCTCACAGCGATATGATCTTAGGCAAACAGCTTCAAAAACCCAAACCGTGATTTTTCACCTATAAAGTGAGAATGGGAATAACCACAACTTCGGCTGTACAGCAGGCCTTTGACCATTGACAAACATGGGCAATTGATTTCAGTTCTCAATGACTGAATGACTGAGAGGCATTATTGAATCTGATCCTCTGGGGTTTTAAAATGGAACCCAGGACATTTTGTGAGCTAGGCAAGCACTCCACCACTGAGCTATGTCCCCAGCCTTTTTTTTTAATATATAAGTTTATTTTATTTTATTTTTTTTTTCAAGACAGGGTTTCTCTGTATAGCCTTGGCTGTCCTGGAACTCGCTCGTCAACCAGGTTGGCATCAAATTCATAGAGATCCACCTGCCTCTGCCTCCCAAGTGCTGGGATTAAAGGCATGGCCACCGCTGCCCAGTCACATACACACACACACACACACACACACACACACACACACACACACACACTTTTATTTTGAAACAGGCTCTTACTCAGGTGCTCAGGCTAGCCTTGAACCCACTCTGTAGGCCTGCTGGGGTTTGAACTCGAAATCCTCTTGACTCAATCTCTTCAGTAGCAGAGATTACAGGCCCAAGCTAACACCAGATACCAAGCCTGGCTGATTCTGATCCTTGACCTAAAGGCTGTTTCTCTTTGCTTTCCTTCATCGGAGCTTATGTTTGTCTTTCATCTGTTCTCAGGGTTTTCTTAAAGTGCTGGGGATGAACTCAGGGTCTTGCTCATGCTGGGATACTGTCTGAAGCCTACCCCGTCATGTGTGTGTGTAGTACATGTATACACGTGTGGTATGTGCTGGTGGAGGCCTTGCACATGCAGAGGTCAGATTAGGACATCAGGTTTCCTGGTCTATCACTTTGTCTTAGTCTCACTGAACCTGGAGTCAGGCTGGTGGCCAGCAAGCCTCTGTCCTTCATAGTGCTAGGATTAAAGGCACGTGGGGACATTTGACTTTCTTTCTTTTTATTTTATTTTATTAAATGTGAGAGCTGGGGATTTGAATTCAGTTCAGTGGGGATTTGAACCCACTAAGCCATCTCTCCAGTCTGTTTCTGGATTTCTTTCTTTCTTTCTGTCACCCCCCAGTGTCTGAACCTATCTATAAGGTTCAGAAAAGTCAGTAGTGTTTTCACACTTAGTTGTCATATCACACTCTTGTTATTTGTAAGATCATTTTCTGGAAGGATTTCATATCCACAGGAAAGTGCACAAACTCAGGAGGTGATATCGCACATTGCCTTTAATCACAGCGGAGGCAGAGGTAGCCAGATCTCTCTGAGGTCCAGGGGAGCCTGGTCTGTTATATAGAGAAACCCTGTCTTGAAAAAACAAACAAACAAACAAACAAACAAACAAACAAACCCCCCAAAAGGTGCAGGAATCCTGAGTACTTGGTGAGCTTCCACAATATACCTGCCTTTGGGCAGCCTTGGTACAGACTACCCAACTGAGGAACAGGACACTGTCAGATCTCGGACGCTCACTTTGGGCTCTTGAGCTGACACCTAGTCACCATCCCTGCTCCCACCCCATGTCCCATGCTTGTGTTGCTAGCGCCTCACAAAGCCTTGTGAACAGGTCCAGAAAAGTCTAGTCAAGCTAAAATGAACTACCCTCTAGGCCAAGCTACCCTCTAGGATCACCTTGACTTTCTTGGCTTTAATTAACTCCTTTTTACAAAACAGGGCAGCACTTCAATGATTTCATAAATTCTCAGTTTGCCAGGGGGTAGTGGCACACACCTTTGATCTCAGAACTTGGGAGGCAAAGGCAGGTGGATCTCTGAGTTCCAGGCCAGCCTGGTCTACAGAATGAGATCCAGGACATCCAGGGCTACACAGAGAAACTCTGTCTCAAAAAGCCAAAAAAGAAAAAAAAATCTAGCCGGGCGTTGGTGGCGCACGCCTTTAATCCCAGCACTCGGGAGGCAGAGGCAGGCGGATCTCTGTGAGTTCGAGGCCAGCCTGGGCTGCCAAGCGAGTTCCAGGACAGCCTCCAAAGCTACAGAGAAACCCTGTCTCGAAAAACCAAAAAAAAAAAAAAAAAAAAAAGAAAAAAAGAAAAAAAAAGAAAAAAATCTCAAGTCTGGGCTCAGTGGTGGAGTGCTTGCCTTGCATAGGCAGGGTTCTGTGTTTAAATTCTACTACTTAGGATAAAAAGATTTCCCATGATTGCACTATAGAGACATAATTTCTCCGATCCCAGTCATCGCCTTCCATTCAAATCTCAGCTTCATCTGTGTGTGGTGCACAGTAATCCCACTTGAGAGGCAGAGGCAAAGGATTGCCAGAATTTAGAAGCCAGGTTGAGAGACACAGCAAGACCCTGACTCATGAAACAGAGAACATACCATTTTTGGAAGCTGTGTTGCACCTGCAGGTAATAAAAATCCTTCTTTACTTCTTTACTCTTTAAACCAATCAAACAAATAGACAGACCAAAACAACGCCCAGCTTCTTGCTTTTTTTTTTTTTTTGTTTCACTACCGTTGTGGGTTGAATCGTGCCCTTTCAAAAGAAGTTGAAGTCTTCCCCCTGCCCATACTAAGTGCCTGTGGATGTGGCCTTATTAAGATGAGGGGCTTTTTTTTTTTTTTTTTTTTTTGTCTTTTCGAGACAGGATCTCCCTATGTAGCCCTATGGTCTGGAACTCTCTGCCAAGTGCTGGCAAGTTATGTGTAGAAGCCACTGCTCATGGCTTAGATGGGCTTTTGAAGTTGATCAAGCTAAGGTAAAGTCGTTAGGGCAGACCAGAGTCCTTATAAAAGGGAACATTTGGATCTAGAGACAGAGATAGGGAGGGAGGTTGGAGTTAGCTGCCACAGTCCAGGGAAGCCAACACACTGCCAGCACGGCAGCAGCAGTAGGTGGGACGCAGTAATAACAGCTGTGCTGTCTCAGTCCTTAGCACAAACCTAACCCTTGCGAACGTTTCAGCTTTCTAGCCCACACTTATTTATTTGTTTGTTTATTTATTTTGCTTATTTTGTGGCGCTGGGCATTGAAATCAAGGCTTTACAAACGTAGGCAAACACTCAGCCTCTGAACCACAGTCCCACACCTTTCATTCTACCCGCATGTTATAGTTACTTATCTCCATGTTACAGTTGAGAAAACTGTGAAACAGAAGCTAAGTTACTTGCTCAAGATTACGTGGTAATAATGAGAAAATACTTTGTAGATAGTACGGTATTTCTTTCGTGTTAGACTGTACTTTTTTTTTTTCTTCATCTGGGTCTCCGCTTCCTCTTCTTACGTGATACTTCCTTCTCTCGGCGACAGGGGCCGCTGCACTGCGCGGGCACTGACAGGTCTCTCTAGCCCGCCGCGCCGGCTGCTCGTTGGTGCCTATAAATGGCTGCGCTGTGCTCAGCGAGGCATCAGTCCGCTGCCGCGGGATCCGTGGCTGTGTTGGGCTTGCAGGTGGAACTGGAGCTGACCGTGAAGGAGCTGCCGCTCGGCCGGGGTGCACCACAGTACTGCACCGGGGTCCACGAGGAGGGCTGTGTTGCTGCTGGCTCACTGCGAGCCGCCTCCAGCCTGCGCCGAGTCGCCTTCCCGCCAGGCCGCCTGCCTGCCTCCGTCTTCCGCCTCCCTCCATTTCCCCGGAATCTCAACCCTGCGCGCCTGGACCCTGGCTCTCCTCTGGGTGGGGAAGCCCCAGCCCTTTTCCGGCTTTACTCCTTTCTCTCAGGCTGGCCTTCAAGCCTTCTCTCTCCTTTTCCTGCAGTGGGTCTCACCCTTTTTGATCCCCTCTAGCACAGGTTCCTTATTCCTTCCTTCCTTCCTGTTAGCCGAGTTCCAGCACCCTTGTGATTTTCCTCGGCCAAAGGTCCCAGCCTTCCTTCATCCTTTACCCTGCCGGTGCCCTCCTTCTTTAGGACGCGGTTTCCGCGATTGCCTTCTCCCAGCCTGGAGTTCTAGCTCTCCCTAGTTCCTCCAAGGCACTTGTCCCTTACCCCACCCCCCACTTTTTTTTTTCCCAGTTTGGACTTTCAGATTGTGAATCTCTAGAAAACCAAAATACCTCTTTAAAACATGAACTTTTCCTAGAGACTTCTGCAGTCTCATCCCACCTGCAGACTCCGTGCTACCTATGTCCCAGGACTTACACTCACTTCCCTAAGGGCTGAGGCCTCGCAGGCTGAGGGAGCAGCATGATGATTCGGTGGTCTGGCATCTGGGGACTCTGTCCGCCTCGGATCTTCCCCTCCCTGCTGGTGATGGTTGCCTTGGTGGGACTGTTACCTGTTCTTAGGAGCCATGGCCTGCAGCCGAGCCCCGCAGCCGGCACCGTCAGAGGGTCTGAACCACCACGGGAACGCTCAATTGGGGATGTCACCACTGCTCCATCAGAGACTCTCCAACACCCAGACGACCGCAACTTGACCAATTTACACATTGAACATGGCGTTAAGACACTTCGAAAGGCCTTTCCAGTCCTGGACATTGACTACTTACACGTGCGCACACCCTTTGAGATTTCCCTCTGGATCCTGCTGGCCTGCCTCATGAAGATAGGTAAGTCTGAGGTGTGTGCTGCTGCTGCTGCTGCCGCCGCCACCAGATAGGTGAGCTTCTTGCCCCATTTCTTACCGGATGGGGCTGCTCAGGGTCTGACTGAACCACTTCTGTGACATAGGTAAGTCTGAGGTGTGTGTTGCTGCTGCTGCTGCCACCACCAGATAGGTGAGCTTCTTGCCCCATTTCTTACCAGATGGGGCTGCTCAGGGTCTGACTGAACCACTTCTGTGACATGGCATCCTCCTTTTTGTGTTTGGTCCTTAAACTCCAACTCTGGCCTCTGTGATCTGGTACCTTCTAAGATTAGAGCTGGCTTTATGTAGGGGGACTGAAGGGGCCAGGGGAGTGCACAGGGCTTGAGAATGGGACACCTCTGATAGTAGTTTCAGTAACACTTCCAAGGCATGGCAGGTCTCCTATGGCTTGGATCAGACCTAGAGAGGAGTCGGGTGCTGAGCTATGTGTAAGACAGGAGGACCTTTTAGCAAGTGACACTTTCTGTCCTGTCAACAGGAATCAGTGCAATTTATTACCTTCTTCATGTGACTTGGCCTGTCTAAGGGTTTTGCATACAGTAAGGGACTGGTTACGGGAGACTTAGGAGTGCGGTAGAACATCACCAAAGTCTCATTTCCTTCATCCCTAGGGTAGTATCTGTCAGTTGTGCCTGCCAAGGCTGATCAGATGCCTCTGAGTCAGGTTCCAGACCAGAAATGCCAACCGTTACCCGGTTCACAGGCATTTCTAAAGGCCGTTTGGGGGGTAGGGAAGGGGAGGAAGATGAGGTTTGCTTAGGGGCTGTACCGGACTGACCAGAGACATTGACTGCTCATTGAAGGAGAGGAGATAGGGAAGAGCTAGGTCTAAAGAGATCTCAAAATATTTTTTTTGGAAGAAGGGCACGGAAAAGGTGTTCTCTTCCCAAGGGTTGGGCTCCCTGCCCAGTCTGAGCACCCTGTCCTACTGGGTGCTTGCTTGGTGGAGTTCTCTGGAGGCCACGTAGCCTAGAAGTCCCTGGAGGTAGTGTCCTGTCCAGGGAGCTTTGCAAGCTGCCTTAAGTCTTTTGGTCCACTTTAAGGTAACTGTGGAAGGTGCAAGGTACTGGGACTCTGCTCCCCTCTTTGCTTGAGATTTGGGTTTTGAGGGTGAGGAGACTGAGCAGAGAGCCTTGAAGCTCTCCCAAGGACACCACTGCCACTGGATTGTGAGGCTGGCCCCGGGGCAGGCTGCAGGAACTAACTGATGCCTCTGTTTGATAGATCTGGGGAGCTGGCTTCCCAGTGCAGGGCTTTGGTGCTGAGGCGTTATGGTGGCTGCAGAGTTTGGCTGTGGAGCTGGGCCATCAGCGCCTATACCCTGATGGCAGCCAGCTTCCTGGAAACAATCAAGGACTGAGCAAGGGGAACCCTGTGTCCGGATTCTTGCATAAATGCATGACCTTGAGCAGCTGAGCCTTTCCTGAAGGTCTTTGTCTCTTGTGAAATAAGAACCTGAACTGCTGTTTGACTTTATCGACTGAGTCATGAAACCTTGTGTCTGTATTTGTTGTGAGAACCTGGAGTGACCATGATATGTCATTTGTCTGTAGCAGACGAGGAAGAGACTTCATAAGTGCTGTCTGTAATTAACACCTCCCTTCTGCCCCCTCATGTCCCAGTACCGGGAGTTGGCACACTCGCTGCAAATCTGTGTCTGCTGGTGATATGACCAGAAAGACCCCACTCTGGAAACTTTTCTTTTTCCCTGCAGACCTGATATGATAGCTCTTGTCCTAAGGGGCACCGACTGGGCCTGACCTGCTTTGTCAACATGGGGTGTGGGGCCTGAGACCCTGAGTGGACAGCAGGGATGGGGCGCTGGCTAGAGTGTCAGTCAGGAAACTGAGTCCTCCCCTCCCCTCCCCTGTGACCTTGACCAATCACGCCTCCTTTTCCACCTGATCTTTGCGATCCTTTTCGGGTCTGACATTTCTGTTGTTGCTCCGATTCTCGAAACCCTGGGAAAGCTCCCCAACTTTGGATCTCAGTTTTCCTGTCATAAAATGGGAGGACTGAGTATGATCCCTCTTTGCAGTCCCAAAGGTCTGTGTATCTGGCTTGGAAAGGCATTTTTCTGCTCCTCACAACAGGAGCCTGGTTCGGCACCTGGCCGTTCTGGGGGTAAAGCAGAGAGGGAATGTGGATGAAAGATGTGAAGGGCTGGTCCTGTTCCGATGGCAACCGTGAAAACCCACTCTCCACCTCACCTTCACAATGCAGCGTTAAGGTTAGCTTTGAGGTTGCAGTGGAGAATGCACCTCCCTCCTGGTGGTTAACATCCTCTGAACCTCAGTTTCTTTGTCATAAAGTGGGGAGCACAGCATAGAGTGGAGCTCAGTGGTGGTGAACACCTCGTTTCCACCCCAGTACCACACATGTGTGGGGTGGGAAGTAGAATTCAGCTGTGGTGCTAGTGATGTGATGATGTAAACTAATGCATATACAGTTGACTTTCTATAGCTAGGGAGTGCTTGCTGAGCAGCACTGCGCTCTTAGTGTTTTAGCCACCTAAGGCATAAGCTTTCCTACTTCCTAGATCCTCTGAGACTGGAGCGCAGCATCCCGTATCTGTTCTGCTGGTCCTGGTCTGACTTTATTCTCTCTCTCTCTCCCTCCCTCCCTCTCTCTCTCTCTCTCTCTCTCTCTCTCTCTCTCTCTCTCTCTCTCTCTCTCTCTCTCCCTCTCTGCTCTGTGTAGCCCCGGCTGTCCTGTTCCTTCTCTTGAGCTGCCTCCTTGAGCTGGTTGCGGGAAGAGGGGAGATGGTGCCTTGATAACAGGCTGGAGGGAAAGCGCTGATCTCTGTCGTGGCTGCCATCCAAGAGACAGAGGATTATTTCAGGGTCTTGCCTGTTTTCTCATTATTCTAGAGTGGGTAGGGGTTTTGGTGGGGTCCCTATCCTGGCACCTGTGGCAGCTCCTTGTCTGCAAGATCCCCCTCTTTTAAGAACGGAAAGTGCAGTGACTTCTTTCCCATCCACGTTGTGTCCCAGAACCCAAAAGAGCACCTTGTGCAGACTGACGTGGGAGAGACAGGGCAAGAGTTAATGTTCTAGACTAATGATGCCTCTGGGACTGGGAGGTAACCTCAGGCAGATCACTTCCCTGCTCTGGACCCTGTTTTGCTCTCGCTAGTAATCAAATCCTTTTCTTGGTGGGAGGAGGTTAGCAGTTTAAGAGTGACCTAAAATATTGGGAGAACCAGAACCGGGTATGTAACTTAGTTGATAGAGTGCTCGCCTGTCATTTCCAAGGTCCTGGGTTCGATTCTTAGCACTGCATAAAGCAAGTGTGATGGTAACACACTGTAATCCAGCACTTGGGAGTAAAGGCAGAAAGATCAGAAGTTCAAGGCCATCCTCAGTTACGGAGTGAGTATGAAGCCAGATACATGAGACCCTATCTCAAATAAGTAAATAATAAACAAATGTATGAATAATTGAGCAAACTGTCCCGAAACCTTTGGGGTAGGGCCGTTCTCCTCCCCCTCGCCTCTCGTGTTCTGTGGTTTGGCTCTTGCATGAATTCCGCTTTGTCCCAGTTCACCTGACTCTCAGGCAGTGTCTGTTCCCAGGGAACAGCTCCCTGCAGCCCAGCTCACCACGGCAGCACCCTGTTGTTTGCCCATACTCCTGACCTGGACACCTGGCAGAGGCCCAGACGCCTATAAAGCAGGAATTCATCTTGTCCCTGATTAGGGACAAAAAGACTTCTTTTGTCCCTTTACATCTCGTGATGTTTTGGTTTTGGTCTTTGTGAGGTATGTGCTGCTATTTCTTCCTTAGAATGAGTTTGTGAGCAGAGACTAGGGAGTTATTATTGCCCACTTGGCATAAGCAGACGTGAGCCTGGTGTCTTATAAAGGTGGGACCTGGACCTGCTTCTGCTTCTCAAAGGAGAGAAGAAACAGCCTAAAGGTCACCTTGAAGTTGTCTCAGCCCCATGAGACTACCAAGAAAAGGATGACCTTTCTCTCCTGGGAAAACAGCTGCCTGACTGGGATGGCGTGAGGGAGGTCAGCTGGCACCTGGCGAAAAGGCCTGAGGTTGTGTGTTCTCAGGTGTGCCGGTCACGTGACCTGGACTTCATGTTCAGCTTCAGGCCCGGGGTCACCTTTCCTGTCACCCAGCCAGCCGGGTCCCACACAGGCTGCTGGTCTCTAAGGAAACCTTGCTCTGCTCTCTGCCCTTGACGCTGCTGCCTTTTGCTGCATGCCTCTAGACTTGTGAGGTGACGGCCGTGTCTCACCTGAGTCTGAGGTAGAGATTGATTTTGGTGGCGTCTGGCTCATTGTGGTGGCTTTTAGAGCTTATTAGACACCCCACCCCTGTGTTAGTCAGCTTTGTTATATCAAAAGTACTGTATATAATCAATTTGTAAAAGAGTTTATTTTGGTTCACAGTTTCCGGGTCTCACAGATTAGTTGGCCCATTGTTTGCCTACAGATAAGGTGACACTTGATGGCTGTAGTGTGTAGTGGACCAGAATGGCCTCCCTCATGACTGGGAAACCAAAGAGAGCATGGAGGAAGTTGAGATTCTATCGTCCCTTCAAGGACGTGCCATCAGCCCTAAAGACCTATTAGGCCTCTTTTCTTAAATTTCCACAACTTCCCAATAGTACCACCCTGGGCCTTTGGGGAATATTCCAGATCCAAGGTGGTCTTCCTAGCCCATTCCAGCCTGCTGTCGCTCTCCTGACCCTCTCCCCATACTGTTTTCTTCCAGTTTCGGCATTCCGCCTAGCCTGCCTGTGACATGGCTTCTGTTGTTGTTGGTGTGTGTGTTCTAATAATAATTACCATTTATCAAATATCTACAGAAGTGTAGGGATTTTGTAAAAGTAATCTTACTAATTCCCACTGAAGTCTTACTAGATAAAGGCCCCCTCTGTTCTTCAGATGAGGGGACAGCTCCGGTTCTTAGCCATGCTGAATTGCTGTTTATTTTCCGTTCGTGTCTT